GGAGCCTGGAGCCTATAGGGGGGAAATGGGGCTTTACAGGGGAGGCGCTGGGGTGGGGGGCTGTGTGGGGCCGGTGTATGAGGCCATAGGGAACCATCTGGGGCGGCGCAGGGCGACGATGGAGTCCCACCTCGACACCCCCTACAACGTCCCCGACATCGTGGTGACCATCGCCAACAACGACATTGACCTCGTCATCCGGTACCGGGGGGATCCCCGGGGTTGGGGGGGGTCTCCGGGGTGTCCCCATAGATGTTTCCGAGGTGGCCTTAGCTACTGGGGGGTCCCCAGGGTACCTCAGTTTCTTCACGGGAGGTTCTCCGTGGTGTCCCCATGTCCCCGCAGAGGTTCTCCAGGGTGTCCTCATGCCCATAGGTGTCCCCGAGGTGTTCTTAGCTACTGGGGGGTCCCCGTGGTGTCCCCATGTCCTCAGGGGTGGTCTCCATGGTGTCCCCATGTCCATAAGTGTCCCCAAGGGGACCTTAGTTACCTGAGGGTCCCCAGGGTGTCCCCATAGGTGGTCTCTATGGTCTTGCCATGTCCTCGTGGGGAGGTTCTCCATGGTGTCTTCATGTCTCCATGGATGGTCTTCGTGGTGTCCCCATGAGGGGGTTCTCCACAGCGTCCCCATGCCCACAGATGTCCACAGGATGTTCCTATCTATTGAGGGCTCTCCACGGTGTCCCCATGAAGAGGTTCTCCATGGTGTCCCCATGGACGGTTCTCCACGGCGTCCCTATGCCCGTGCCGGTCCCCAGGATGTTCCTCTGTACTGGGGGTCCTCCACCCGCTCCCCTCTGGTGCCCCCCATCTTCGGGGGTGCCCCTGAGGGGTCTCCCCCATGTCCCCCCACCAGGATCTCTGACCGGGGCGGTGGGATCCCCCACGACCTCCTGGACAAGGTGACCGAGTACCACTTCAGCACGGCCGAGGCCAGCGCCCAGGACCCCCGCTTGGGGGGTCCCTTCCGCAACCTCCTGGACCTCAGCAACAGCGGCCAGGCCGGCCCCATGCACGGGTACGTCACGATGGAGGGACACCGAGGGGGTTCCCCCCAAGTCAAGGGGACCCTCCGGTGACCCATGCCCCGCGGCTGCCCCCCAGGTGCGGGTTCGGGCTGCCCACCTCGCGGGCCTACGCCGAGTACCTGGGGGGCTCGCTCTGCCTGCAGTCGCTGCAGGGGGTGGGCACCGATGTCTACCTGCGCCTGCGCCACATCGACGGCAAGGGGGAGAGCTTCCGAATCTAGGGGGCCCGGACGCCTGGGTTCCCCCTGTCCCACTGCCCCGGACGCCTGGGTCCCGGAGAGCCCCCCATGTTGGATGTTCATCATCATGGAGGTCAAGGTGGACCTGGAGAGCCCCCTATGTTGGACGTTGATCATCATGGAGATCAAGGTGCTCCTGGAGAACCTCCCCATGTTGGACATTGATCATCATAGAGGTCAAGGTGGACCTGGAGAACCCCGCCATGTTGGACATTGATCATCATAGAGGGGGAGAGCTTCCGAATCTAGAGGGCCCGGACGCCTGGGTTCCCCCTGTCCCACTGCCCCGGACGCCTGGGTCCCGGAGAGCCCCCCATGTTGGATGTTCATCATCATGGAGGTCAAGGTGGACCTGGAGAGCCCCCTATGTTGGACGTTGATCATCATGGAGGTCGGGGTGGACCTGGAGAACCCCGCCATGTTGGACGTTGATCATCACAGAGGTCGAGGTGCTCCTGGAGAACCCCGCCATGTTGGACGTTGATCATCATGGAGGTCGGGGTGGACCTGGAGAACCCCCCGTGTTGGACGTTGATCATCACAGAGGTCGAGGTGCTCCTGGAGAACCCCCCATGTTGGACGTTGATCATCACAGAGGTCGAGGTGCTCCTGGAGAACCCCCCCACGTTGGACGTTCATCCTCATGGAGGTCAAGGTGCTCCCGGACACCTGGGTCCCTTGCTTGGACATTGGGGCACCCACCCCACCCACCCACGACATTGGGGTTTCTGACCCCCCACCCTCACCCCGTTTGGCTTCGTTAGGGCCCCCCCTCGTTACCGGAGCGGGGTGCCCTCATTAAAGCTGCAGCCGGTGCCGAGGGGGAGAGGGTTTATTGGGGACCCAGGTGTCCGGGGCAGGGGAGGGGGGACGAGGAGGAGGAGGAGGAGGAGGGGGCAGGAAGGCTGAGAGGGCGTCTTGGTGCCCGGAAGCCCCATTCAGCCTATTTCTTGCCCCGAATCCATCTTCATCATCTTCCTCCTCACCTTCCCTCACAGGGTGTCCATCGTCTTCCTCAGGGTGTCCATCTTCGTCACCGTCCTCCTCCTTAGCGTCTCCATCTTCTTCCTCGGCCTCTCCATCTACCTCCTCATCGTCACCTTCCTCCTCTTCAGGGTCTCCATCCTCCTCCTCGTCATCACCTTCCTCCTCAGCGTCTCCATCCTCCGCGGTGTCTCCATCTTCATCACCATCCTTCTTGTGGTCTCCGTCCTCCTCCTCCTCAGGGTCTCCATCTTCTTCCTCACCACCTTCCTCCTTCTTGGGGTCTCCATCTCCCCCCTTCAGTGTCACCTCTCTCCTACTCAGCGTCACCTCCCTTCTCTTCCTCACCATCACCTTCCTCCTCAGTGCCTCCATCATCTTCCTCCTCGGGGTCTCCATCTTCCCCCTCCAGCGTCACCTCTCCTACTCGGTGTCACCTCCTTCCTCTTCCCCGGGGTCTCCATCCTCCTCCTCACCATCGCCTTCCTCCTCGGGGCCTCCATCTTCATCACCATCTTCTTCCTCGTGGCCTCCATCTACCTCCTCAGCATCACCTTCCTCCTCCTCGGGGCCTCCATCTTCACCACCCTCCTCCTCCTCGGGGTCTTCATCCTCCTCCTCCTCGGGGTCTCCATCTTCCTCTTCACCACCTTCCTTGTCCTGGGGGTCTCCACCCTCCTGGTCAGGCGGCGGGTGACAGCAGGGACAGTCGGAGCGGTGGGACGGCTGGGCGTCGCGCTGGGGGTTGTAGAAGTCTGTAGGGGGACGGGAGACGACACCCCGACACCTATAGGGCGTCGCCTATAGGGCGACCCGTA